TGGTGAAGATGCTTGGATTGGGGACTTGATGGATTAGGGGGAGTGTTGGAGTCGGTGCTGTAGCGCCGTCAATTTTAATCGCACCAAGTCCCGCATCGCGCTATACATAGTTCGCGCTGTCCGCTATCTACGGTAATTTTCGTATAGTCACAACTCTCGTTTCCATACAGATACTACATTTCTTTCACTAGTAGTCTCCATTTCTGTAGATCTGACTGCACTCTAGAATAGTGTCTACCTTACGCATTTCTGGTCCGTTTGGCGCCATTCCGGCGCCACTTAGTGTATGGTCGTGTTAGCTAGTTCCCACGCGCTCTGTGCGCCGTCATCTGCGCCTGAGTCGACTCTGCAGTCCTTAAGACTTACAGAGCTCGACTTAGGTGTGTAGCACAGTTTCCTTGCAATGAAAAAGACTTACAGAGCTCGACTTAGGCCATTGTGACCCCTCTGAGGCCCACTGCAGCTAACACAATCGAGTTCAGGATTATGTTCACGTAGAAATGCCATGCTAATGATGATGTCTTGCCGCCCGATATCTGTGACAAGGAACAACTGCCAAACAAGGTGATCTCCGATACGGAGTAAACAACGGACATAGAGTGTGATCAACCCCTTCTTATTCTCGGTGGCGTCTGCATTGAAAACTCGCACTTCACGAGAGAGGCGTCATAGGGTGAGTCCGTGTTCTTGAACAAACCAGTGGTGGATAAAACAAGAGTAGGCTCCTAAATCGAGGAGGGCTTCTGACTGAACTTCATGCGTACCTTGAGTGAGGGAAACTTTGAGATCGAACGAATTTCGCGGGCAACGTGCTGACGCGAGATCAATAACATTTGAACGTGGAACAAAAGAGTCCTCTAGGTCTACGCTATGATTACAGAGTCGGATACTTTGGTCAGTCTTCAAAGTACCCGTTCCAGAAACTCCTCCTCAGATTCCTTGACCTCGACGATGCGTGCGGCGGTCTCGGTTTCCGGTGCCTTGCCTTTGCCTTTTCCCTTGGTGGTTTCAAACTCCTCGAGGGCCTGACGGATGTACTCCCATTTGTCCTCATCGGCCGTGTCCAGCGTGCGTACCTTGGTCGGAGCGGCCGGTTGCTTCTTCATGTCCGGGAGTTCGTAGTAACCCGTGTACTGAGGGTTGCGACAATTCTGGCCAGTCGTAAACTTGTGCTTGCCGCAGCGGAAACAGAGCTTCTTGTCGAGCCATTCGAGTTGTTCCTTGGAGAGCCTCTCCGGCTTGCGCATTGCGTCGACATCCATGACATTGGGGTCCCGGGGGGGCGACTAGTCGTGTGCTGCTGCGAAGATGACTTGGCCTGGTTTCCTCGAGTTTCCATTTCCAGCTTGAGCACCCAGTCCAGGTAGTGCTCCCATTTCGTCAGAATCAGCATCGGGTTGACTTGCCGCATTGCCGTTATAACCATAAGGATCTGCGAGTTCTTGCCAACCTGGTTGTCGATGCGTCGGATAAGTTCTACATCAGCGTAACCAGACTTCGATGCGTAGTGGCTGTTGGAGTTTGCCGTCCGGCCATCGCCGAGTGACCAAATACATACAAATAGCACATCGGTACTGCCAGCTCATCATGTACCTACCTGCTCTTTAGTCCGTATGGTGACGAGCCTCTTCGGTTTGTGTTTGAGGCCTGGGTGGGGCTTTGTTCTGTCTGGGCCTGGAGAGCCCTGAGTGCCAGTTTGGTGCCCTAAACCTCTTGTCTATGCGTCTATGCCTCTCTCTCTCTCGCTCTTCCTTAACTCTATCATTCGCTCTCTGCACTCACTATCTGCGCCCAATTCGCCATTATCGACCAGATCACACCACTGCTGCCAACAGTGGCGAAAGTTCTCAGCAAACTGAATGACCGTGGAGCGAGGTTTTGAGCACCACTCCTCGAGGGATGTTTGCGCGGTCTTCTCGGGAGCCAGTTGACGGTAGCCTGCCTTGAGCCGGTTGACGAAGTCGGTCCAGGATCCAAGGGTTCCGCCGTTTGATGCTGTCTCGACGTAGTCCTCGACGTAGTCGTGCGCACCACCTTCCAAGTACAAGAGTGATGTCTGAGCCTTTGTTGCCCTTGTACTTGGGTGGTTCTGATGCCTTGATACGCGAGGCCTGTGATACGACAGGGGCCGGGGCAGTACTGACACCGAGCGTGGTGTGGGTTGCCAGGCCTTGCTCCAACTGTATAAACTTGGCTGCGAGTTCCTTGTACCGTTTGACGAGCTCCGTGTTATTCCGGTTGAGAACCTCCAGATCCGCATTGACAGCAACCAGTTCCGCCGTCAGCTGTTTGTTCTCTTCAACGGCTTTGAGAGCGAGGTTCCCAGCAGTGTCAGCCTTGGTGTGAAGGCCTGTCATAGACATGTCTAACTCCTTGAAGGTGGCGTGGGTGGTGTCGCTCTCGTTGAGGAAGTCGTTCCGATGTTCGTATATCTTGCTGCCGAGGATGTTGTAAACATTAACTATTTCCCGCTGGGTGATGTCCCTTGTCACAGAGATGGTCCAGTCGACGTAAGCTGGGTTGGTGATGCCTAAACTATTTGCCGAGGCGCGGATAGCGTTTTCTAACGAGTCATGTTTAACACCAGCGTAGATCCATTGAATCTCCGGGTACGCTTGAAGCGTGGCAGTGGGTGAAGCCGGGTGGATGTGTGCCAGTGATGGAGCCGGGTGGGTGTGTGGACCCGGGTCTTTCGACTCAAAGTCGTCCTCTGCCAGTGGGGTGTAACGAGAGCCTGAAGCCATTGCGAGAGTATTCAATGTACAAAAACTAAACCACGATCCAATCTAGGTACCCGAAATGTTCCAAAGTTCTGTCCTAGTCCGCTAAACTTGACCTTTCCAAACTCCTTACAGAACCAATCAATGTTCTGTTGCTGACTACGAGTCCACGAGGTGCCGTTCTCCTTGATGTTGTCGAGTATCCACTCGAGCCTGTCGCCGATGCGCTGAAGGGTGAGCCGGTGATCGTGGGGATGTCGAGTAACTGATCCCTGTGGTCGAAGATAGCCTGCAGTCTTTTGATGACAGCGTTGACCTTGGAGCTGACGATAGCGAGGAGATCGATGGGATCATGACGTGCAAAGGAGGGGAGAAGTGGTGCAGCTATATGGTACTGAAGGAGGACCGTAGGGTTTGAGGGAACAAAGACTGGTGGGGGTGTGGTGAGACGTGCCGCGAGCGGTCTGTCGAGGGGTTGGGAAGAGGGTACAGATGGGAGGGGGGCCTTGCGATGGGGGACGATAGGGGTATGCCTATACTGATGGCGGTGTCGAAGGCGGTCTGAGGTGTCGTCTGCAAGGTGTTGGCTGCAGTGGGCCTCAGAGCGATCACAATGGCCTAAGTCAAGCTCTGTAAGTCTTTACTATTGCAAGGAAACTGTGCTACACACCTAAGTCGAGCTCTGTAAGTCTTAAGGACTGCAGAGTCGACTCAGGCGCAGATGACGGCGCACAGAGCGCGTGGGAACTAGCTAACACGACCATACACTAAGTGGCGCTGGAATGGCGCCAAACGGACCAGAAGTGCGTAAGGTAGACACTATTCTAGAGTGCAGTCAGATCTACAGAAATGGAGACCACTAGTGAAAGAAATGCGATATCTGTATGGAAACGAGAGTTGTGACTATACGAAAATTACCGTAGATAGCGGACAGCGCGAACTATGTATGGCGCGATGCGGGACTTGGTGCGATTAAAACCGCCGGCGCTACAGCACCGACTCCAACACTCCCCCCTAATCCATCAAGTCCCCAATCCAAGCATCTTCACCATCTCAAGCACCTTGGGCCTGGGCAGCGACTTGGTCAGGATGTCTGCTGGCATGTCAGATGTGCGCAGATGCACAATCTCAAGCCGACCCTTGGCCACCTCATCTCTGAGCCAGTAGAAGCGCAGATCCAAGTGCTTCATCCGACCATGGTGCTCTGGGTTCTTGGCCACAGAGAGCGCAGAGAGGTTGTCAATGCGAAGCCTGGAGGCAGAGGAGATGTCATACCCAAACTCAGAGAGCAGGTTTCGCAACCAGAGCACCTCCTGGCCAGCTGAGACCGCTGCAACGAACTCCGCCTCTGTGGTGGACAGAGCGACCAGGGATTGAAGGCGACTCGAC